TTATTTACTATTAATGTTATTTATTTATTTTCGCATATTTAGTTGTTGTTAATTATTGTTTATTTACTATTAATGTTATTTATTTATTTTCGCATATTTAGTTGTTGTTAATTATTGTTTATTTACTATTAATGTTATTTATTTATTTTCGCATATTTAGTTGTTGTTAATTATTGTTTATTTACTATTAATGTTATTTATTTATTTTCGCATATTTAGTTGTTGTTAATTATTGTTTATTTACTATTAATGTTATTTATTTATTTTCGCATATTTAGTTGTTGTTAATTATTGTTTATTTACTATTAATGTTATTTATTTATTTTCGCATATTTAGTTGTTGTTAATTATTGTTTATTTACTATTAATGTTATTTATTTATTTTCGCATATTTAGTTGTTGTTAATTATTGTTTATTTACTATTAATGTTATTTATTTATTTTCGCATATTTAGTTGTGAGAGATTGCAAGTACAAGATTATCCATGAGAGAGAGAGAGAGAGAGAGAGAGAGAGAGAGAGAGAGAGAGAGAGAGAGAGAGAGAGAGAGAGAGAGAATTAATGAAAATGAGTAAGAGTCAAGAGCGAATAAACGAGTGAGAGTATGTGAGCGAGCAGGAGATTATCCCAGGAGAGAGAAAGAGGGAGCGAGAAAGAGAGAGAGAGAGTGAGAGTGAGTGCGTCCTGCGGGGGTTTGTGACCTGTGGTGTGGCGAGGAAAATAACGAGGGGTCGCTTCCTCTGCTTCGTGTCCGGTGTTTGGGGGGAGGGGTGGGGAGGGTGGGGGTAGGGGAGAGGGAGAGGAGGAGTGGGGGGGAGGGGGAATGAGGGAGGGTGTTGGAGAAGAGGGGAGGAGTGAGGGGAGGTGTTGGGGAGGAGGAGGGGAGTAAGGGGGGTGTTGGAGAGCGAAGACAAGGAGAGGGAGGGGGGGGGGATGAGGGGGTGTTGGAGAACAGAATAACAGTAGGGAGGTTGGAGTCCGGAGACCATGAGAAAAGGAGGAGGAGTACCGGAGTGTGGAGAGGAGAAGGAAGGAGGGGAGGAAGAAAGAAAGGAAGGAGGGAGGAAAGGAGGAGAGAGGGAGGGAGGAAGGAAAGGAGGAAGGGAAGGAGGGAGGGAGGGAGGGAAGGAGAGAGGAAGCGAGGGAGTGTGATAATGGAGGGGAGGAAGGAGAAGAGAGTGTTTGGGTTGAGGGTGCGAAAAAGAATAGGAGAAAGGGAAGGAGGAAGAGGGATGAGCCAGAAGGGACGGAAGTAGTAAAAGGAGGAAGAGAGAAGAAAGAAGCCGATTGGAAGATGGGGAACAGAGGTGGCGATAACGGCGAACAAAGGAAGAGGGGAACAGTGGGAAGGGAAACGAGAGAGAGAGAGAGAGAGAGAGAGAGAGAGAGAGAGAGAGAGAGAGAGAGAGAGAGAGAGAGAGAGAGAGAGAGAGAGAGAGAGAGAGAGAGAGGAAGAGTTAGAGAGACAGAAAGACAGACAGACAGACAGGGAGGGAGGGTGGGAGAGAGAGAGAGAAAGAGAAAGACGGAGAGAGTGAGAGAGAGGTGGAAAAGAAAAAAGGGAATATTAAATGAAGCAATAAGAGAAAAAGGAGGTAGTCAAAAAAGAATTTGATAGCAGAGCAACAAAATAATAGAGAAAGTGAAGGGTAGCGAGTAAACGTGGATAAAAAGGGGAATTAATAAAGAACGAATGATGGATGGATAGGGCCAGTGAAAAGAACAGAGAAGTCAAGGGGAAGGAAAAGGAATGAAGATAATTGAGAGACGAAGTGTAAAAGGGAGAGAAAAGATGAATACGACAGAAACTGAAATAAAACGATATAAACAGAAAAAAATCGGCATATGGAAATTAAGGAATAAATTAGAATAGATGGAAGAATGAAACAGGAGAAATAGGAATGGCAGATGGAGTTCAAAGCGAAACGAAGAAGGAGAAGACGAAGAAAAGTCGAGACGAAAGGAGAATAAAGATTGAAAGAAGGGCGTGGCCAGGAATCCTTAAAGAAAAGAAAAGATAAGAAGGCAGGATAAAGGAAAGGTCAGGGAGATAGCAGAAAAGCGGGACAATACAGATACGAAAAGATAAAGAAAGATAAAAATAATTTTTAAAAAATCAGTATTTTATCTAAAAAAAATATCTCGCTAACTGTGTGGGCAGAAACACAACGAAATTTCGAAAGAAAGAACAACTAACAAGAACAAAATAACAAATTAAACTAAAAAAACAACAACAATTAGATCCAAGACTAAAATATTGGAAATGATTGAACCATTGGCGAGAGTCAAACGACCGGACAGCGACAAGGACAGTCTAACGGGGGCGAGGGAAGCCTTCTCTCGTGATAAGCGGGGCTCTATCAGCTGATAAGGACGGACGGGATGGCGTCACGGCCGACCAAAGGCAGTCAGGCCGAGAGTGTTAGAGAGAAGGGGGGTTGGGGGGGTTGGGAGAGGGAGAGGGAGAGGGAGAGGGAGAGAGTGATAGATAAAGGGGGGCAATAATAGAGAGAGAGAGAGAGAGAGAGAAAGGAGGGGCAATAATAGAGAGAGAGAGAGAGAGAGAAGAAAAGGGGGGACAATAATAGAGAGAGAGAGAGAGAGAGAGAGAGAGAGAGAGAGAGAGAGAGAGAGAGAGAGAGAGAGAGAATGATAGAGAGAGAGAGAGAGAATGATAGAGAGAGAGAGAGAGAAACAGACTGTCACGTATTACGATTTTTCCCTTTTACTTGAAAATCTCGAGCATTACGCGGAAGAGAAAAGAGAAATGTTTATGCCAAGAGAGAAGTTGCAAGTTGCATTTCCTTTGCTGTTGCTACGAACACGTTTTTACTCGAACATTTTGGTTGCGGTCTTGCAAGTCCTGTTGTTTGCAAATGATCGAAAATGCGAGATATCTGCGAAATTGTTAATGTGTGTATATATATATTTATAGATTTATGTATGTTGCTGTCACTTTTTTTTTTTTTTTTTTTTTTTTTTTTTTTTTTTTTTTTTTTTTTGCTTCTTGATACGTGACTGCCCGTTAACCACGTGACTTTAAAATCAATTTATTAATTCATATTTAATTGTTTTTTTTTTCGAATAATTTAATTCTGGTTATTCAATTTCTTTCGAGGTTTGACACGTGGCCGCGTTTCATCCTCTTCCGTCCCTTCCTTCCCCCCCTCCCCCCCTCTCCCCCTCCTCTCCCCTCCCCCTCCCCCTCCCCCTCCCCCTCCCCTCCCCCTCCCCTCTGGGCCCCAGGAGCCGCCTTACTCAATCACTCTCGCTCATTCAGTCTTCCGCTTCCTCTGTTCGCACCCGTGTGTTTGCTTTCTCTTTCTCTCCTTTATTCTCTTTCTCTCGTATTCTCTCTCGGTCATTTTCTCTTTCTGTTGTAATGAATTTCTCTCTCTCTTTATTCTCTCTCTCTCTCGTTTTGTTTTTTTCTCCACTTGCATCCGTCGGTTTGCAATGGCTTGTTGCAGATGTAAAATGCAACAACTTTGGCTTGACTTATTGTTGGTGGTGTTCTTGTTTTTGTTTGTTCTTTTGTGATAAGAAAAAACAAACAAACTTCTTTTACTTCCCTTTTTTTGTTATTACTGCAGTTTTCTATCCGAACCTTTAATTTCATATTTTCTATGATTTTTTTCATATTTTATCATATTTTTCGTTATTAATAATAAAGTTTCGTGGGCTAAATAAAATGGGAATGCCATAGTAAACCCTGCCTCGTAGTTAGAGAAAATTATAAAAAAAAACAGTTATTGCAAGCGATTCTGCTGCAAGAGAGAGGCGCAGGTGTATGGATGTTCGTTAGTGCAGGTGTAGCTTGCACGATGCGGCTCTTGCAACAGCACACCAGCCGCTGCATTGCTGTTATGCTGCAGACATGAAGGGATGCCTGGCAGGTGCAGATGTTGAGGGGGGGGGGGGGGAGATGGAGATGGATAGGGAGAAGCAGATGGAGATGAATAGGGAGATGGAGATGAATAGGGAGATGGAGAGAGAGGGAGATAGAGATGGATAGGGAGAAGGAGGTGATAGAAGGAGAGGGAGACGGAGAGAGATGAATAGGGTGAGGGAGGGAGATGGAGAGAGAGGAAGATGGCGAGAGAGGGAGATGGCGAGAGAGGGAGATGAAGAGAGAGGGAGATGGAGAGAGAGGGATAGTATGATGGAGAGAGAGGGAGAGGGAGAGGGAGAGAGATGGAAGATGGAGAGGGAGAGAGATGGAAGATGGAGAGGGAGAGAGATGGAAGATGGAGAAGGAGAGAGATGGAAGATGGAGAAGGAGAGAGATGGAAGATGGAGAAGGAGAAGGAGGGTGATGGGGGATGGAGATGGATTGGGAGAGGGATAAAGAGAAGGAGGGAAAGGGAAATGGAGAAAGAGAAGGAGGGAAAAGGAGAGTGAGAAAGAGAAGGAGGGAAAGGGAGAGGAAGAAAGAGAAGGAGAGAAAGGGAGAGGGAGAAGGAAGAGACAAACAGACAAAGCGAGCAAGGCAGCAAATCGCTTGGCTATGTGTTGAGAGGAACTTCTGCATGCTGTATGCTGATTATTGAGTGTGCGTAGCCTAGTATGTTGGGTATTGATCTATGCAGTTTTTTTATGTTGTGAGTTTATCGCGTATGTGTTGCCTGAAGCGTGCGTATGGTGTGTGTTGTCTGTCTTTTAAATGTATGTATGTTGTATGTTGTGAACGTCCAGATGTTCTGTTTTCTTTGATCGGAAGTATGTTAATAAAGCTGATATACACTTTCATTATTGACATGTCATTTTGATTATTGATTAATTATCTTTGATTATGATTAATTTTGATAACTGATTTTTTTTATCACTGACTTACTATTATTATTGTTATTGTTATTATTATTATTATTATTATTATTATTATTATTATTATTGTTATTATTTTGCATATTCGTTTTACTGTTATACAGGTGAGGCTTAATTAGACCCGCCCGCTCCTGTGTTGCATTGCACGTTGCAGAGCAGACATTACGTAACGCAGG